CGGCTGGGTCAGGCGTTCCGGCGACGCGTGCGGCGGCTGCGGGAGCTCAGCGAGCGCCTGGAGCTCGTCTTCCTGGTGGATGATTCGTCCAGCGTGGGCGAAGTCAACTTCCGCAGCGAGCTCATGTTCGTCCGCAAGTTGCTATCCGACTTCCCCGTGGTGCCCACGGCCACGCGCGTGGCCATCGTGACCTTCTCGTCCAAGAACTACGTGGTGCCGCGCGTCGATTACATCTCCACCCGCCGCGCGCGCCAGCACAAGTGCGCGCTGCTCCTCCAAGAGATCCCTGCCATCTCCTACCGGGGTGGCGGCACCTACACCAAGGGCGCCTTCCAGCAAGCCGCGGTAAGGTGCCCGCCCCTCCCGGCCCCGGCCCTAGTCCCCAGGCCCTTCCCACTCACCGCTGCCTGCCCGTCTCTAACCCGGGGTTCAGTCCTGGGCAAGGCATAACCTCCCCAAGTCCGGCGTCCCCATCCACAAAACTAGAGTCATAGCTTACCCCCCTGTTATTATTGTGGGGGCTCCAATGGGATAATGGATTTTTAAACGCTTAGAGAGATGTCAGGTTCCTTAAATAGTTGGCTTTGAGGACCTGTTAAGAAGGGATCCTTGAGACGCTAATCACATTCACATTTGTAGGAGCAGAGACATCCAAGCTGAAACAGGTGAGTATGGTTTACAAAGTGTTTCTAAAGGTAGGACATGGAGTGATCTGAGCGTAACCCCAATTCTTTTTAAAGTTATGTTATGCTTTCAATGTAAGATTCTTGCCCTTCCTATTTTTGCTCCAATCCTCTATTAGATTTTTAACATGTGGAAGAGGAAGTCAGTTTGGGACGTCGGACTTTTATAAAATGTGTCTGTGTTTCTGGTTACAAATTAATTCATATTCAGTGGGGAAAAAAGGAACATATAGAAATTCTAACACATAATAGCAAACCAGTGTTTGTAGAATGAATTAAACAAAAAGGAGGGAAAGGGAAAAAAGAAAAACCTAAAATTTCATCATTTTAAAAAAGCCATTGTTTGCAGGTTGTTGAACAGTTGCCCAGTATGTGCATCCATTCATACTTTTAACCAAATTGGTATCCTGCTGTTTTGTAGCCTACATTTTTCATTTGTTATATCCTAATTAAAATGTTCTACATTAGCTGCATACTATTCCATTGCATGCAACAATCATCTATTGTTGGACACTTAGGATTTTTCCTTACTAAGTTATCGTGAACATAAATATTTGTGGACTCTTTTGTTTACATCTTTAGGAAGAATTTCTGTAAGAGTTCTCGAACTGAAGGTTAGGAACATTTGTAACTTCTTGATACATATTGTCCATTTCTCCCTTGGAGGGTTGTATAAATTTATATTCTCATCAGCAGAGTATATCAGCAGTAAATTTGTCACATATTCACCAATATCATGTACTATCTTTTAATATCTTTGTCAATTTAAGATGTGATAGAGGCATCATTTTAGCAAATACACATTTTTGATTTTTGAGGATGAACATTTTCCAGTACATCTACTGGACATTTGTATTTTGTCCTTTGATAATTATCATAGTTTTTGCCCATTTTGCCATTATAGTGCACATTGGCTTATTTTTTTTCTTAATGATTTGCCAAAGCTCTTTATATATCAGGCCAGTAATTCTTTTGTGTATATGCTGCAAATGTTTTTCCAGTTCACTGCCTTTTGTTTTTGTTTATGGAAATGTTGTTAGATGAATGGTTTACATTTTTATACACTCAAATCTATCAAACATTTTCCTTAAGATCCTATATTCATAGTTTTAGAATAGCTCTCTCATTTCCCAAATCAGAGAAATAGTTTTCCATGTAGCAGCTTAATCCATCTGGAATTTATTTTTGTGTATGGTATGACAAAGAGGTCTAATTTAATTTTTAACAATAAATAGTTAACCAGTTGTTCCAGCACTGCTTGCTTAATAGCCATCTGTCCTTTTCCAATTTAACTGAATGTCACGTTTCACATGTGGTAAATGCTTATGGGTATTTGATCTGTTCCTGGCTTTCTATTTCCTCCCATTTTCTATGTCATTTGTATCATTGCCAAAATGATTTAACTATTGTAACTTTACAACATATTTAAATATCTGGTAGTGCAAATTCTCCTTTTTAAACATCTCTTCTTTTTCTAGTTAATACCCACTTATTATTTAATATGAATTTTAAATTCATTTTTACATATTACCAATGAAGTCAGTAAGGATTTTGATTTCAATATAGAAAATATTGAATTAACTTGGGGATTATTTATATTTTATAGTAATAATTCTTCCATTTCAAAAGTGTAAGACCTTATATTTTCTCAAAGTCTTAGAATAGCCTTCTCATTTCCCAAATCAGAGAAATAGTGTTCTATTTAACAGTTTAACCCATCTGGAACTTACTTTTGTGCATAGTATGACAAAGATGTCTAATTTTATTTTTCAAATAAATTAGCAGTTGACCCAGCACTATTTGGTTCATATAATTTGCTTAATAGCATTTATGCATATTCTTTATACATATACATTTATGCATAATCCTTAACAAAGTTGTAGATTTTTAGAAATTAAGTCCTGTATGTATTTTTCATATTTATATGTAAATATATTCTGTTCAATATTACTGTCATGAATAGCATCTTTTAAAATTAAATTTCACACAACTTTTCTTGATGTATAGAAACATTGATTTTTAAAAATATGCCTTCTATGTTTGGATTTTTGTTGAAGCCTCTTTGATTCTTTTTTCTCTTTTTATATACATTTTATTTTGCTGATAATAAATGTTTATTGTAGAAAATAAAATAATCAGGAAAACTATTTCCTGGAAATACACTGTCATAGTTTGGTACATAGCTTCCTTGACTTTATTCAGTTGTCTAGGTAACAGACATGTTTTCATACATATATTATGCATAAATTATGTTTACCCAGAAAAAAGGATTCAATTGTACATCCTCTTGTAATTTGACTTTGTATTCCCACCATATATTTCAGTCTTCTTTCCAAAATAAGGAACGTATTTCTACTATCATTATTTTTCATGGTCATACAGTTTTCCACTGTAGAATGTGCTTTCGTGTGTGTGTGTGTGTGTGTGTGTGTGCATGTGAGAGAGAGAGAGACTACCTATTATTATATATTTACGCTGTTACAAACATTGTATAACTAAATCTTTGCCCATATCTCTAATCATTTCCTTAATGCAGATTCTTGAAGTGCCATTATTGCACCAAAGAATATTCATGTTTTTTAAGGCATTTAATACATGTGTCAAGTTGCTCTGCAGAAAATGGTGCCAACCTGCCCTCCACATGCAGTGACAGTGTCAGGACCTGGGGTGCAGACCAGCCAGTGCAGGCTAATATCATTTGAAGATTCCACCCCCAACCCCCCAACTTTCTAAGTGAGAAATGGAGTCCCATTTTAAATTGCATTTCCCTATTAGTGAGGCTGAATATTGAAAAAATATGTTATTGTCCACATATAGCTCCTTTTTTTTGAATACCCATTAAGATATTTGACGATTATTATCCAATTTTTAACTGGGGATGGCTCTCTTTCTTATTGATTTGCAAATGCTCTTTAAATCTTAATGGTATTAACCCTGAGCTGTCAGTGACCCAAGTATGTGGCAAATATTTTTTCTCAGTGCTTTAATTTTGTTTAAGGTGATAGCAACAAATGTTTTGTTAGTCTGTTGGATCTATTTTTCTTTTCATTTGTGCTGTTTTCATCGTTTATGAAGGTTTAAAGACTTTCGCCTTTAAGAGATGAAATAGCTACCCTAAAAATGCTCTCTGTGTGTTGAAGCAGTCACGCCACGCAGGGTATAGTTTTGCAGCTCTTGTTCCCTGTTGGACCTGGTCTCCGCTCTAAATACTCATGAGGTCCTGAAGGCTGGCCTTATTCCTAATGCCATGGTCTACTCCATCAAGGAAGAACCCTGCTGCATCAGGGAAAAACCTGCCAGGTACCAGCTCCTCTGTTTGGCTTGGCCAGACTTGCCCAGGGCCTCTGAGAATGTTGATCCAAAACAGTAAAATGGGTAATGAGTCAAGTACACAGTGCTCCCCTCAAGACCTACTCTGTCTTCAGCTTTCCCCTTCCAAGTACTACATCCTGTCTTGGAAAGTGAAATTGCCAACAAGGTTCCCAGTGCTGCTCTTCAACCTGGATCCATTTGTAATCCAACAAGCAGGGATTTCTCAAAAGTTTGTATTAGCTGGTCTTCCCTTTGACTTCATTTTTATTTTTATTTTTTCTCATTTTGGTTGGGCTATGAGAAGGTACAAAAGAAGGTCAGCTGGCTCAGTCCCTGTCTAAACTGGAAGCTTACGTGTCTTCATTGTAACTTTTCCAAGCCTCTGATGAGCATTCTTAGATATAACTAAACTATAAGATTTAGAGAAAATTGGTAGAAGACGACCAACGTTTAGAAATGGTGTTGGTTGAGGCTTGAATTTTTGCATAGGGATCAGGCAGAAGCATTTAGCGACCAAGTTAGTTTGAAAATGGTAAGCTGTCTTGTGTGAGTTTTGACCTGAAACTTTGTACATTTCACCATGGAAATGAGATCATTCATCAGATTCCCGCATGTGTGCAGAATGGTAATATTATAACTGATTGTGACCTAGCCTTTGTGTGAAATTGAAAATCACAGGGATATTTTTGAGCTTATTAATTACTCCCTGGAAAAATTAGTTTTTCAAAGCTTTTCTGTTTGAAACTGAATGCTCACACAACTGTGCCCTGACACAATCACAGGCAAACACATAAACATGTATGGTGCATAGGCACACCTCGCAAGCACACAGTTACCCCTCAGGGAGACATCTTATTCCTCTTATGTAAAAACTGGGAGATGTAGAATTTTCTTTAACAACATGAAACTTGCTGTTATTTCTCAGCAGATGGGACTGACCAGACAAAAAGGATAACAGTGTTGCTTCACTTTTTAAATGATTATTATTTGGTGTCAGAATTGGACAACTCGAGGGGTAGTATATGAATGGGTACTCACGATTATCACACCTGATTTGAATGGGTAAAATGTAGTGTAGACGTTTACTCTTCAGACACCACCCCATAGCACTCTTCAAAGAGCACAAGGACTAAAGCAGTGAATTCTGTAATTAGTACACAATCAATCGCCTGGGGGAAAGTTTAGCACCTTGAACTTAATTACATGAAATCCTTTTACAGAATTAACAAAAAGCTCTTCAACTGTTTGTTGCAGGGGAGTAATTACCTCATAACGACCTTCTTCTTGGTTTTACTTCCTGCCATGTGTTTATAACTTACCTTTCCTAAAGTGAATATGTTTGGATTGGCC